GAGAGAGAGAGAGAGAGAGAGAGAGGATGGGTGGTGGTCTGCGTTGACGTCGTGGGGTGTGTCGCCCCGTGTTCTGCAAGTCGGGAGTTCACACAACGGTGCGTGTTTCGCTGTGCTTCGTCGTCCTTGAACGACGTGTGTTTGGCAGTTTAGTATGGTGTTCTGTTGTGCTGCGCCGCCGTAAGTAGGGTGTCGGCGGTTGTGGTAGATGGCGATGTCGCAGTGCAGCGCGTTGTAATGGTCGGGGGGGGGGCGTCACGCACGTGTACGTGCTGATCGTAGATGTCGTCTAGTGTGCTCTCGCTGTGTGTGACGTACACAGTTTACATTCCAGGGATTTGTGTTATGTTTTCCGGATGTTGGGAGTGAAGTTGCCATGAAGGCTTTTTGTTTTCCAAAGTGTGACGTGTCGTGCTTGTACTACGAGCGACAACATACGAAAAAGAGGTCATGCCCATATTTTATGTCCTGTGCTTTGTATTCTTACTTCACGACGAATGAAAGTAGATAACAACAAGACGTTTTGTGTGTTATTTGTATCACCTTCGTTCGTTATCAGACAACGTGAATGAACAACCCTCAATCTTTCATCATCCATTGGTTGAAGCAAACTTCCCTGCCCACTTTCCAACCACCTCACCATTAGAAACGTGAATGCAATAAAATATAAAGCAAACTTCCCTGCCCGCATTTGCAATTACGAGAATGAACAACCCTCAATCTCTCATCATCCATTGGTTTAGGCGAGATTCCCTGCCCATTTTCCATCCCCCTTACCATTATAAGCGTGAATGAAACGAAATCAAAGCCGACTAAAAAGGAAGCGAAAACGAGTTCCACACATAAAGAATAGCAATGAACAGAAGTAGATGTTCGGTTTAACATAAGCGAACATCGACTTGCCATTATCAAAATAAAAATTTAAAGAACACAAAATATTCATTACACCGCCCCCACGACAACCGATCCGCCACAGTGATGACTGCCATCACGGGAACGTCAACTCCCATGACTGATGACGAAGCCCAATAACATGTTGGCGAGAACCTCCTTTCCCGTCACCGCCACTGTCAAAGTAGAAGCACGACGAACACGCGCGCGCACAACCACCATCCCTGTCCCCCATCCAATGTCACCGTCTATCCGCGGCAAAAGCTGTAATAAGCTACCCCATTGTACGATGACGACCAAGACGGCCGCCATAAAGGCATCATCACCGCCCGCCGCTGCGGTTGTCGTCGGGTTTGTCGTCGTCTTTCTCCTCCGGGGGGCCTGTGCCCAGCCAATCCAGCTTTTTTGCCTCCATCGGGGAAGGCAACGTGGCGTCGTGTGAGAACTTCACGCCGATGGACGCCCAGTCGGGGATGTAAAGTGGAGGCTCTACCAATGTCATGGGGGGTCTCGCCACACTTATCCGTGATGATGGTCGCAGCTTGCACGATATGGCGACGAGCGTCGAATGCGCGATGCATGGATGCGACGAGCGTTGGCTTTGTCGTCAGTTGGACGAAAACCCATGCATCGTAATGCGCGCGATGATCGTCACCGACCATCCGCATGAGCCACATGGTCGCCGCGAGCATGATCCTCATCGCGTCGGCGATTGTCTTTAACCTTTCGTACGACACCCGCCCGCCGTCCATCGCCTCCACCAGGCTGACGGCGCTCGTGAAAGCCCCCACCAGTCGCTGGATGCTCGCCTCTTGATACGCCACCAAGTCGGCGTCCTCGTGCTTGTCTTCGACGTCGGCGCCGATGAACCACAATGGCAATTTCATGTCCATCTCCAACGTAAAGTGGACCACCATGGGGCTGACACATATTTGCCAGTCCTCCCCCATCCACATGGCGTGAGCGATGTCAGTGGCCACGTGGTTCAACGCGTACTGGTACGCAGTGTGGTACCCCCGCGGCCTGCTCGCCGACTTGAAAACCCAGTCGTGGATCACCCGCAAAGCGATCCCCTGCACCTTCATCGCCCTCTCCTTCACAGCGTTCAACTCTGATTCGTCTGCGAGTTTCTGCTGCGGGATGCTGGTGTGAGGCAACACGATGCTGCGACGAATGACCGGAGGCGGCACTCCCCTTGCCACCACCACGAGATACCCGCACGCCTCCATGATCAACCTGACGATGGCGATTCCTTTCGTTTCGTTCCAGAACCGGAGGCCGTCCACCCAAAGCTTCGATGCCACCTCTATTCCCTCCCGCGTATTCTGCTGACGCGTCGGGATCACCAAGGCACCGTCGTCCTCCCCCGCTCCGGCGACATCGCCTGCCTTCGCCCCCTCCCCCGCATGTGCTGCCCCCCCCGCTGCGGCCCCGCCTGCCCTCGCCCCTTCCCCCACATAAAATACCCCGCCCGCTGCCGCCCCGCCTGCCCTCGCCCCTCCCCCCGTGTGTGCCACCCTCCCTACTGCTGCCCTGCCTGCCCTCGCGCCTTCCCCAGCGTGTGAACCCGGCCCCCTTGTGGGCCCGCCCGCCTCCTGCGCAACAGAGCGAGTGTTGCCCCCTTGAGCGACGGGGTTGCTGCTGCTCGCGCGCGGGGTTACTGGTGTTCATGCGTGGAGCGCACTCTGTTGCGGGTCAGGGGCTTCGTTCCCACGTGCCACGGGCGCGCGATGTTGTTGCGCGACATCACCCCCCCCCCCCCTCTGCCTGCCGTCGCGACGTTGACATCTATCACGTCGTCTTCCACGATTGCCGGCAATCCCCCGCCTCGTCTCTCGGCATCCTCGCCTTCAGCTGCCCGCCTCGTCGACTTCCTCTTCAACGGCTCGTCGTTCGAGTCCTCGAAGTCAGTTTCGTCCTGCGTTGCAACCTCCTCCGGCACCCACTCTTCATCGACGACGCAATTTCGCAGTGAGGGGCTTTCTGCGACGATCTTCCTCTTCTTATTCGACACATGGCGGCCCTTCTTCTCCTGAACCGCCGCTCCCACTGCCAGGTTGGCGGCGGACTTGCCGCGTCCAGAACCGCGAGACAACATGGTGGAAGACACACCTGCTTCGAGCTTGATCGCCCGCTTCCTTCGCGGAACGCACCCTGCACGAGAAGGACGTGTCAACTGCGATGGCGGTTATGGCGACGGTGGTGGTGTTGCCGGCGACGCCCCTCAGCGACGACGATGACGACGATGGTGACAATAGCGAAGACGACGACGGTGACGATGGCCGCCGATGGTGACGATGACGACGACGACGACTGTGACGATGATGCCGAAGAATGCGGCGACGACAACGCGCACGGTGACGACAACGCGCACGGTGACGACGGACAAGGTGAAGGCAGTGATGATGGCTACGAGGGTGACGAAGGCGGCGACGATGACTGCGGTGAAGATGAAGTCGTAAAGATGACTCCGACGACGAAGCAACGTGCGCGGAAGGCGGTGACGTTGACGTGTTTTCGCGCAGAAGGCGATGATGACTGGGCTTCGCACAGCGCCCACAACACAGCGAAGCAGGCGGCGGACGAGGATCGTCGAAAAAGGTCCACTGTAGCGTGACGATGATGGTCGCGGAGAACAGCAACCGGGGAGAGGACGTAGGATCACGTGAAGGCGAGCGAGCGACTATGGCTTGCGTGTGTAGCGTGATGCAGGCGGTTTGAGTTGTGTCGTGCATTTCGCATGGACGCCCACATTCTTATAAACACGTCTGACGCGGGGTGGACGGCGACGAAAGACCACTACTTAGGGGATTGTTGCACGCAACTTCCATAGTCGTCCCGCCGATACGATGTCGTTGGGGGCATCGTGGACGGCCAACCGAAAGGCAAAGGGTTGTGGCCCAGAGTGCCGTGCATCCGGCACACCGCCACCCATCTTTTCGCCCCCCCCTCCCCCCCCCGCCCGAAAGCCTGCCCCCAGAACGGTCTCCATCCCCCTCCGCCATCGAAAACAGTCCATGCCCGCTCGTGAACTCGCCTAACCCCCACAAACACCCCCCCCCCCACGCGCAGTCCCACCGTAGCGCACGCAATGGACGGGATGGGTTAACGATCCCCCCGACGCGGACCTCAGACAGACGCCACCCCATTCCAAAGTTGACGACGACAGAAAAAAAAAAGTGAGAAAAAAACAAAACATCACATTCTGCTTTCTCGCCAGTTGTAATGACTGTACATCCACATTTATGGCGACATTTTCAAATGAACACAAGCAGAGCATCTCCATCGACAACTGTAAGAGGGTTTTGACGATATGAGCAATAGCATTCCAAAGATGGGTGGCATTAAAGACGACACCTTTTACACAACTTTGCATTTCATTTCAGGAGAGGACACCAAAACACATGCTGGAGAGAGAGAGAGAGAGAGAGAGAGAGAGAGAGAGAGAGAGAGAGA